GAGGGAGAAGTGAGCTGAGGGCGGGGTGGAGAGCTGCAGCGCGGGGCCCTCTTGGCACGGGGCCCAATTCAGCCGAATCGGCTGAATCGGCCTAAAGCCGGCCCTGGTGGGGGCTCTATGTTTGATTGCTCTGATACCTGCAGGGTTGGGGTGGGGGACTGTGTTTGTAGACATGCCCTGAATCTCACACACCCTCAGAGGATTAGAGACCAGCACTTCTCCCCCAACCTCCTTGAAAACCTTGCATCAGAAAAGAACAAGGAGAAGGAATTCCAAGAAGGAATTCATGATTGCTTGTTAATACCGTGTATTTAAAATACCAAGCATGCAAATGGAACTCCTGACCTTGCCCATTTCATGTTAGATATTTTCACACAATCTCAGCAGTGATAAGAGAAAAATAGACAGCCAAGAAAGTCAGAAGGGGCCATATTATGACAAGGGTGAGGAAAATATGTCCTCCCCCTTGCAAACACATTTTAGGTTGCTTTTGGTTCTAAAATAATGTAGATTCCCCCAAACCTCTCAGAATTTAACCAAATCTGTGACGCATTTGCTTTTGTCTCAGGGAAATACAATGGAGAATGCCTGCCATATCTGCAAAACTCCGGCTAGAGTCTGTAGTTACAGTGATAGGCCCTTCAGGAATACCTAAGGCAGACAGATTCGTGTCTAATGAGACAGTGTGAAGATATTAGGTGCCTAAATAAGTAGCCTGCCTTTCAGAAGGGCTGAGCATCCACAACTCCCATTGATTTCACTGAGAGCTGTTGGGAACTTGACACTTTGGAAAATCAGATAATTTATTTTGGGACTTGGGAACCTAACTCCAGGCACCCCTGTTTGAGACTCTTGGCCTCTATGCTGTGCAGTGTCCATCTCCGAATCACTGAGTTAACTGAGCTGATAGCAATTTCAAATCCCTCCTTTGTGTATTTCTGAGTGAAAGATTCTCCCCTCTCGATTCCGTAAAGCATCAGGAGGGGCCCGGAAAGAGGGGGACACAGCCAGGTGGTGCAGGAAGCGCCGCACAAGCTGCTGAGCTGAGGGGATTAGGTAACAGTCACTGTAAGAAACAGCTTGGGAGGGGCCAGGATGGCTATTTGTCAAAGATTGCTGCCCAGTCCAGATCCTGCCCCCTTCTGTTTTCTGGCTCCGCCTCTGTCACTACACTGGGCCATCTCGTCCATCATTCATTGACCCAAGTCAGTACTGTCCTCCGTCTCTCCTCTCCCACCCCATGTGTGGACTCCCCCTTGCACTCCTGCTCTTTTCACCACACCTGCCGGCCACCACCTGCGCTCTTGTCTGCTTCCCTGGGGCTGTTCCTCTGGTGAGAAAGGCCCAGCGAAATCCCCCTGTTGGTCTGTCTCTCTTTCCTCTGGCCATTTGCAGGGTGGCTTCCCGGCTGAGTACGTGCTGGATGAGGAGAGCCAGGGGAACCTGTCCTGCCTGGATAGCAACCACTCCCACTTCATCCTGGTGGATGACGGGACCCATGGCAGATACGGTGTGGAGATCTCCCTGAGGACCAGACTGGAGAAGTTCATTTCCGAGCAGACTAAGGTGAAAGGAGGTAATGGCAGCACAGGTCAGCCCTGCCCTGGAGCGGAGGGAGTGAAAGACGTGAGATCCGACAGACATTGGCACCAGGGCATGGGCAAGCGCCTAGATCTCTCTGGCGTCTGGCGAGGAGGGGGCCGCGTGTTAGCATCAGTGCATTCACCGTTGGCGTGTGGTGCCAGAAAGTCCAGGGAGCAGAGGCTTTGGAGAAGGAGCTCTGTTAGTGGATAATGTTTTTCCTGACAGACTTTGCCAGTGGCATGGGAGGAGAATATCATAGGCTGGGGGAGGCTGTGCCTCCCCAAACAGCCAGGCATGGCCCCGCCCATGCTCTGCCCCCAGGCCCACCCCCCCTCCAGCTTCCTGCTCTGCGGCTCCCCCTATGCAGTTCTCTGGGGCTGGGGAGGCTGGGGCTGTGCCACCCGCCCTCCCAGCACTGGGGGCGCTAGCCTGGGGTGGGGGCCGGCGGTTGCGGGGGGGGGCGGCTCTGGGCTGGAGGGGGCAGGGCCTCAGGCAGAAGGGGCGGGGCTGGGGGCTAGCCTCCCCCAGCCAGCGGTTCACGCGCCGCCCATGGTCAGTGGCACAAGTCGAAGCAATATTTCTGCTGGTGAAGTGACTGCAAACCATTCCTGCCCTTCTGGCCAGTGCTTCCTGCTAGCTGATCTCTGGGAGCTGCTCTGCAAGCTGGCATGGGTTGGAAATACCCGTGGCTTGTCTTCTACTTGTAGCTCTTTGAGGGAGATCCATGCTGGCCTGACTTAGCAGGGCAGCTGATCTGTGAGAGATCTGCGTCCAAATGGAGCTGACTTGAGTCCCTGCTTCCTTGCAGGAGTCGCCATCAAGATCCCGATCGTCTGTGTAGTGTTGGAGGGAGGACCCGGGACACTCGATGTAAGTACATGGGAGAGAAGGGGAAGAGCGCAGCTTCCTCCTCCCAGACAGGTCAGGCAGGAAGTCAGAACTGCCGGGGCGTGGGGAAGCTAAAGCCATGACTTCACCCAATGACTTCCAAATAACAACGGAGCAAACACTGTGGGGATGGCTCCCCCTGGAAATCCCCAGCGCAGAGAAAAGCCGAGAGAGCCATATGCTAGGGATCCCTCCCTTAGCCTGAGTGGAGGAGGACCACAGGGGGTGCTCAAAGCCCATCAGTGGTGGGAGATGCAGAGAAGCCACCAATGGGGGACTGTGTGTAAGCATGGGTGCCTCAGGCCTGATCCAAAACTCACTGGAGTTAACGCAAAGGCTCCCATTGACTGAAGTGGATTTGGGTCAGCCCTTCTAGCCCCGCATCTCTGTGTTGCAGACAATCTACAATGCGATCACCAATGGCACCCCATGCGTGATAGTGGAGGGGTCCGGGCGTGTGGCCGATGTCATTGCACAGGTGGCCAATCGGCCTGTTCCAGAGATAACCATCTCCTTGATCCAGAAGAAACTGAGCATCCTCTTCCGGGACACCTACGAGCTCTTCACCGAGGGCAAGATCGTGGAGTGGACCAAAAAGGTGAGATGCTCACACCCCATCTGCTACGCTGGCTGACATCCCCCAGAGCACTCAGATACATGGGGAGGGCAATGCGTCACCCCTCCTGGGATCTGCAGTTACCACACAGCCACTGAGGAGTGGGACCCCATGTATGATGCTGGGGAAGCGTTCCAGACCTTAGCTATGCACCCCACTGTTGGGAGAGAGGGAGCCTGTGTCCCGTACTCACCACTCACCCTGGATGCACCTGCAAAACCCCATTGTTTGTGTGTGCAAGTGGACATCTGTGTGAGCAAAGTGACTACGTGCACTGTGCAAATTGTCCAGAGGATGAAAGATGAGTGTGTCTAGAGGGGGCAGGAGTGTTGCTGGGGACAAGAACACACGGGGTGAAATCCTGGTCCCACTGCAGCCAGCGGGAGTTTTGCCATCAACTCCAATGGGGCCACAATTTAACCCACAGTGTTCTAGCAAGCAGCAGGCTGTCTGTGCATTCCAAGGACAGGGACTCAGCCTGCAGTTTGTTGGCTGGGATGGAAGTCATAGAATTAACCTCCAATGGGCTGGGAGGGGTAACAAGTGTCCATGGCAGATGGGGATTTAACGTCAAATGGGCTACAAGGGGCCACAGAACCCAAGGCAGGAGCAAGGTGTTAACTGCACTGGGTGGTCCCTCCAGAATCTTCAGGAAGAGCATTAACCCCACGTGAGCTGGGTGGCACAGCAGGGGATGCTGCTGCTGCAGGACATCTGATCCTCTGCCATTTCTTGCAGATCCAAGACATAGTGCGGAGCAGGCAGCTCCTGACCATTTTCCGGGAGGGCAAAGATGGCCAGCAAGATGTGGACGTGGCCATTCTTCAGTCACTGCTCAAAGGTGAGGGGCAGAGAAGGCATTACCTGGCTCTGCTCTGGAGACGGGTGGTCACATGCCTGCCACCAGGTGTCAGGATGCTGCCAGTTCACACCAGAGTTGGCCATGTGCTCACCAGTGCTTGAGCTGCTCCTTAGTGGCCATGGTGCTGAGTGCACTGGCTGTCACTCCCTGTGGGCTGCGTGGGGGAGAGTGAGGTATATGCAGAGGAAAGGGATGTGTGGACAGATGTTGGCTGCGTGTGTGTTCTCCCTGTGTGCAGTCCCAGCTCTGCGCAGAAAGTTGGCACAGCAGACCTCGAGCGAACCGCCCAATGACCACAAAATCCATTAAGGTACGAAGGCATCAGGCCAAGTTTATTGTCAACAAAGCACAGTACTAGTATCCCGGAAACTCTACTGGACCACTAATACAAGTATGCCTGTAACAATGGACCAGCTCAGTGAACAGCAGGATTTTCCATTCCTTCCTGGGCTAAACAAAAACACTCCCTCTAAAATACATCTTTATACCCTAATGCAAACAAGTTACGTATTGCTCCTCTAATATAGTTAGTTACTGCCCCCTAATGTGGCTAGTTATCACCCATCACCTTTTACATGTTGCTTCAATCAAAACATCTCTGTTCTGTACTGTCATCCTGACCGTATCGTTTAAAAGGGGTCAGTGTGTTCCCATTATCTTTGGGGAATGTTTTTGTAGCATCCTTAATATCCGGATGTTCTGGTCCCACCGTTCTGGAATGTGTTTGTGCGAGTGCTCTGTGCCTAGCACCTCTTAGGAATGTGTGTTTTTGCAATATCAGCCCTGTTCTTGCCAAATTCTGTGAGCAGGGCCTGCCTCTAGCTCACAGTCTAATTTTTGCTTTTTATCAGCAAAGTTTTGATTACGACTTTAGCCCAGGCCTCATACTAGTCCTCTAATACAAGGGCTTATGTCTCAGGCTCTCTTCCTACTACAGGATGGAGCAGGAATGTCGTCAATTCATTTCCCAAGTGATTTCACTGAGCGTGACCAAAGATCATCTGTCCCTGTGGGGTGCTGCTGCATCTCGCCCCATATGAGGCGCTGTTTCATCATTTCACCAGAGGAAGGCTGTGAGGCGCTTTGAGATGCTTTGGCACTGTCTGAATGGAAGACATTTGCCCAGTCATTATCTAGTGCCGTGCACAGATCATCCAGCCCTCGCTCTTGTTACACTAATCCGTTCCTCTCTGCCTTGTGCTCACTCAGGCCCAGGGGAATGTGTGACCCTGCTTTTGGAGGGATTGCTGTTAAAACAACCACTGATCTCTCATGAGACAATCAACACTCCTTCATGCTCTTCTGCTGGTCAGAAGAGTCCCCCCTGTGTATCCCACATGAGGGCAGAGTCACCCAATGTCCCTGCCCTTCCCCTTACGGCTCATTGTCATTGGTTACTTCACTGGTGGGGGACATCCTGCTCCAGTGTCTGTGGGGACCCAAGCAGCTCCTTCTCAGGCCAGTTCCCATACTGCTCTTCCAGTTGGTCTCTACTGTTTCTTAGGCTGGCAGCTCTTCAGGGCAGGGATAAGGAGAGAACTCCTGGCACATTGCCAAAGACCATAGTTCTGTACCAGTCCCTGCTTCTCAGAACAAAGCGACTGTGCTGTTTCTCCTCTGCACATGCGCTGGATTCCCATCAAGAAATCCCACACCCATAGGATGTGTGGGGCGGTCAGAGAGACGTAGCGGCCTGGCAAATGGCTCCCAACAGACCAAGAGGGCAGGACCCCAGGAGCCATGGCAATGGAAGGGCCAATATGGGATGTCTTCTGGTGTCTTTCACCCAGGGTTCATTGGCCTCCCTTGCCCCTGGCCTGTTGTGCTCACTGGGGTGTGCTATGGGCAGGCTGCTCTGCTCAGTTGGCTGGTTCTCCATCAAGGGGCCCGGCTCTGGATGTTGCTTTTCTGGGGGAGGTAAGAATGATGTGGCCATCCCAGCCCAGCCTCGGAGTTCACTCTGTTGTATGTGCCTTTGGCTGCAGCCTCCCGAAACCGCGTCCACTTTGGCCACGAGAACTGGGACCACCAGCTGAAGCTGGCAGTGGCCTGGAACAGGGTGGACATTGCTCGCAGCGAAATCTTCACAGATGACCATGAATGGAAGGTGAGATGCGCTTGGCTGTGCCTGGCCTTCAGCAGCAGGTGGGGAGCAGAGAGTCTGATTTTCAGGTATTCTCCTAGACTTTAAGGCCAGAAGGGATCATCCTGGCCACCTACTCGGACCTCCTGCATCGCAGGCCACACGATCTCCCCCTCCCACTCCTGTAGTAGGCCCAGAACCTCTGGCTGAGTTATTGACGTCCTCAAATCTTGATTTAAAGGCTTCAAGTTACAGAGAATCCCCCATTTACACTAGTTCAAACCAGCAAGTGACTCATGCCCCAGGCTGCAGAAGGCAAAAAGCCCCCAAGGTCTCTGCCCTGGTGCTTGGGGCAGGGATGGAGGGTGGGATCTAAGGGGGGCTTTATGCCACCTTTGCCTCCCTCCTATTCCGGAGCCATGCCAAGGCTGGTCAGGACGCTGGTGCAGGGCTGCCTGCTCGAACGTACACTCTGCTTTTCCTATCTCCTGATTGCCCTGAGGAGCAGAGACTAGCCGTAGTGCAATGCGTGCCAGCCTGGGTCCAGCACACCTCCAGAGTGCCTCCAACCTGCCCCCTATGCTGGGGGTTGGCAGCAGGGCTACTACAGGGCCTCGTATGCTGGCCAAGGAGCCCCCTGCATAGGGAGCATTCTCAGGAGTCAATTTCCGCCCACTTTAAGGCCCTCTGCTGCCAGAAGCAGCTACTCTGTTCAAACCTTGTAGATGTGAGTCTGAACTACAGGTGAGGAACCCAGGATTCAGTGCTTTGTAATGCCCTGTTTTTCCATAGATAAGCCCCTTCATTTTCAGTTTAAATCAATTTTTACTGAAAAAATCCCGGGTTTTACAAAAAGTTTTATTTGTTTTTTTCCTGTTTTCACCCTACTTTTGTATCATTCAAATATATAGAAAGTAACTTGTTTTATTAAGAAAATACAATACATTGCATGAGATATCTGTATTACGAGAATACATTATTCTGTGTGTATATGCAAAGCTGCCTGTTGAAGTAAGGCTGTTAGTCTAGAAGATACACACAATAAATGGGCATGCACACAAGCTCTGAAGTGCGCACGCACATCTGAACGTACTGATGAGACTCATGCCCACCACATACACGTCAAGCTGTTAGCAGATAACGGTTTAAAGATCTGACACACTAAAATGGGAAGAAAATGAAAATCTGTATCAGAATACGTTTCAGAACACAGGGAAGGATTCAAAAGTTTAAAAAAACAAAAACAGGAGAAAAGGATGAAGTTGAGCGTATGAGCTGCAAATGGTGTGGCCCAATTATTAAATGTAACTATTTATAGGCTAATAGTTCTAGGTCTACAACAGTAAACTGTTTATTCAAATGAAAAGTTTATTTGGGGATTATAGATAAGGCTAAAATTTTGTGATGGAAATTTTTAGTAAAAGTCAGGGACAGGTCATGGGCAACAAAGAAAAATTCACAGAAGCCTGTGACTTGTCCCTGATTTTTACTAAAAAGATCCATGATAAAATGGGAAGGGTCTGGGCAGCTGTGGGGTGGCTGGGAGCTCTGGGGCCCCCCCACCACCAGTGGGGGCTCAGAGCTCCGCGGTCCCCCTGCCACCAGTGGTGGAGGGAAGCTGCAGGGTCCCCCTTCCCCCTCCCCAGCAGTGGGGAGCTGTGGGAATCCCCCTGCCCTGCCATGGCAGCCAGGGAGCAGCCGGGGTCCTCCTGCCCCACGGTGGCGACGGGGTGCTGCAGGGGTCCCTCTGAAGTCACGGAGGTCTTTGGAAGTCACGGATTCCATGACTTCCACGAACTCCGTGACAAAACCATAGCCTTAATTAGAGATATATTGTTTTCTTAAACTCAGAGGTAGCATTGTGTTTTGAGTTCTGTTTTTGTTCTGCAGCAAACCACATTGAATTCCTTTCATCAAAGCATTAATCTACAGAATATTTTTCTCCCCGTCCTTCCATCCACCAAAATAAACACCAATATTTACCCAGAAAAATTATTAATGTTTTTTTCCACCGATTTTCACCTGTTTTTGTTGTTGTAGTAATAAACACTGATGAATTCCCAGGAAAAATTAAATAAAATAAAAAAAGAAAATGAAGGGCCCTATCCATAGATCTAATAGCAAGCTGCTCAGGTCAAAAATGTGACTGGCCTTTAAATGCTGACTGGGCAGGGAATGTATTCTAGAGTCTGAATATCTGTCTTTTACAAATGATTTACCACTTCACTGCCAAGAAATCTGTCGCAGATGCCAACGTCCTGTTGCGCACTCAGTTATGTGCATCGCAAGCCTGCTGGATGCATGGCTCAGCTCTCTGAGCTGTGCATTTTCCTGCTGACGTACTCAGCAATGTCACAACATTCATGTGGAGAGAAGGGTGGGGAAAAAAGCAAAGCCAGCTCCACTCTCACGCACCTGTTTTGCAATCTTATTGCGCAGAAGCTAGAGGTGGGCAAAATTGCATCTTCTCTTTAATTTTTCTTGACTCCACTGGAACTTGGAAGTAGTTTACAGAGGTTGACGTGTTGGCAAATACTTTGTCGGAAGGCTTCAGCTGCCCAGTGGGACCCAAGAGATGGGAGGAGGGCTGGCCAGGAATTCAGAATTCTGTTCTGCAAAAATGTTGAGGTTTTGAAATCTATTTTCATTCCACATTGGAACAAACCCAAGACCTTTCGACATTTTTCATGAAAAAACATGAGACAGAGAGCAACCAAGCGCCCAGAATAGTTAAGACATGGGATATTGGAGACCCAGGTTCAAGTCCCTGCTATGAATAAGGCAGAGGAGGGACTTAAATTTGGATCTCCTACATCCCAGGTGAATGCCCTACTCACCAGGTTCTCTGGGTTGGACCAGAAATTCCATCCTAGCTGTGAGGAACCTTCCTTACGCAAGTTCCGTCGAAACCCATACGTTCCTGCAAAAAAATTCAATTTTGATGCTTTGGGATTTCCTGGTGAGATACCCATCAAACTGAGAAATTCCTGACCAGCTGTAGGTGTACATGCCACTCCATGTGGTCTGGAGACAAACAGTGGTTAAACAAAGGACACACACACACATATCTGAAAACAAAACGTGAAGGTGGCATGAGTTTCTCCATGGAAACATCTGAAGTTGCATGACAAGAAGTATCAGAGAATTACAGGGGCTCCCATCTCAGCCACTGAAGAACCAAAAGCCAGGAAAGCAGAGTTCCAGAGTGCCAAACCTTCTGACCATGGAAGTACGGCCACTCGTAGGTCTAATGTCCTGCCGGGGATGGATGGCCACTGCAGAGCCCCTATAGCTAGAGGATTCCATGCCCTACCAAAATCACCACAGCCTGCAACCCCTGTGCACACTACGGCACAGCACTTACTCACCTGAGGAGTGCCATTGAATTCGGCGGGTTTGCACGTCGGAGGGGTATTAGCGTGAGTAAGCCTGAAAGAATCTGGCCCTGAGGATGGGAAATACCTGGCCAGCTGTAACGGCTCCCCCAGTACAGACGGGATCCGGGCTGGGTCACACAGGCAGCTGATCCTGCCAGGGCCCCAGGTCGGGAGAGACAGGCAGAAACAAAGTGTTCATCTCCTGGGGGGAGGGGAGGAAGGCCGGAGGGAGCTGGTCAGCCCCACACCACTGGATTCTGGGCAGGGAAGGGGATGATCGTGCTGCCTAGCTGCTGTCCGAGTGGGGCAGAGTAGCCCCTGAGCCACGGCTCCTCTGAGAGGAGAGGAGAGGGGCAGGTGGCCAGTGGCTCAGGGGCAGAGGAGGAGCGGAACTCTGCCCAAGGGGGCAGAACTACTTTGCTTTACTACGGGCAGTGGAGTCGTGAGCTATGCATGGCTTGCGTCGACCTGTCCATGCCCTCCCCTGTCTCGCTGCCTCCCGTGCTGGCTGCTTCCTCTGCTCCAGCGACCCCTGCCCGGGCTTGCTGCGGTGCCCCATGCCCGCTGCCTGCTTCAGCACCCTGCCCTGGGACCAATCGGCAGGGCGGTGTCACTCAATGACAGCGCTGTCTCTGGCCTGCCAGCCTGCAGATCTGCACCCCGTGATGGCCGCCGCCCTGATCGCCAACAAGCCGGACTTCGTGAAGCTGTTCCTGGAGCAGGGCGTGCGCCTGAAGGAGTTCGTCACCTGGGACACCCTGATCTACCTCTACGAGAACATGGCGCCCTCTAGCCTCTTCCACGGCAAGCTGCAGAAGGTGCTGGTGGAGGAGAAGGAGCGCTCGGCCTTCTCCAAGGTGCCGGGGATCCAACTGCACCATGTGTCCCAGGTGCTGAGGGAGCTACTGGGCGACTCCACGCAGCCGCTGTACCCGAAGCCCAAGCACGCCGAGCGGCACCGGCTCTCCATCGCCGTCCCGCACATCAAGCTCAACGTATGGATCTCCCTGCGCTGGGGTGGGGAGCTGAAGGGGCGGGGAGCTGAGGGGGTAGTCCTGCTGGGAGAGGACACCAGCTGGCGAGGCCAGGACTGCGGGCAGGTTTCAAACCAGGCACCTGAGCAATCTCTGCACTGGCCAGCCCCTGAGAAACCCCAGCCTTGGGACATCCAACTGAAGGCTGTGGGGAGATCTGCACTGGTGGGAGTGTAGCAATGTGCCTCCAACCAGGGCTGACTCCTAATGCCGCACTGGTGCGAAGGAAGGCTCATGCTGGCACAGCTCTCTGATCCATTATCAGGTTTGGCATGGTGTAACTACACCTACCTGGCCCCGGGGCCATGTGTGGCCCGCAGGAGCTGGCCCTGGGATAGGTACATTGGTGTAGCTCCACTGGTGTAAACTATCCTGCTCTAGACAAGCCCTTGTATTTGTTTGGTTGTTCCTCTCCAGCTAAAGACAGGTTTAAATTCCTGTAAAACTCCAACCCCTCCTCAGCTCAGCTGGGTTCCTCTGAGTCCCCACGGAAATTACCTGAAAGCCAAATGTGGCCATTGTAGGCAGATCATTGCCTGGCCCGTTCCTGGGGCCTGATTCCCATGGCCTTCCTCCTTGCACAGCGGGTTAGTTGTGACACTCCCTTCGGCAGCAATAGCATGTCCCACCCACACAGCACCGCTGTCCCTGTCCCAACAAGGGGCAGGGCAGGGGAGACTCCCTAAGTCAGGTGCTCCTGGCTCCATGCCCTGGGGAAACCCCAGGTGTTTACAGGACAAGTCCATGGGGCCAGGGAGGGGAGATCCTGGTAGCTGCGGAGGAAACTTGCCAGCAGATTTCCTCACGTGGTTTTCCCAGATGCCTGGCTCCCCTGCTTCTGCATTTGTTAGTGCAGGGTCTCATGCTGTGAGCTGAGAGATGCATGGAGCAGCTGCCACAAGCTGAGAGAGCAAGTTAGCTAGCTGCCCCTGCACTGACACCAGATCGTTGGTCCCCTGTCACTGGGTCTCTCCTTTCTCAATGGCCTGCAGCCTTCCTGCCCCCTTCCCAGGGCTCCAGTTTGCTGTGCCAGCAGGGTGCCCCTGAGCAAGCGTCAGTTCTTTGCGAAGTCTTGGTCTAACTCTGCCGTCCTCCCCAGGTGCAGGGAGTGAGTCTCCGCTCCCTCTACAAGCGCTCAGCCGGCCGGGTCACCTTCACCATGGACCCAGTCAGGGACCTCCTCATTTGGGCTATTGTCCAGAGTCGCAAGGAGCTGGCAGAAATCATCTGGGCCCAGGTATGAGGACCCTTCCCAACAACTCCCCAAGGTCACTGTTAACAATGATAGAGTTGAACCCAGGTCCTTCAGTGCTGATCACCTGTGTCTGCCACCAGCCCACGGACTCCCAGCTCCAACAATGCTGCTTCCCTCCTGTGCAAGTTTGGGGCCCACTGCTACTCATCCCACGTTGTCATCACCACCCCGTGCTTGTGAGCTAGTGCGGAACGGGTGGGGTCTGTAGGGGAGGGCAGAATCAGCTGGGCTCAGGCCTCCTTCTTGTAAGAGCAAGGGCAAAAGGCTGTCTCTGAACCCACCACCATCTGCAGCTTCAGCAGAGGCACGCCAGGAACACGCTGCCTCCATCAAACGGAGGAGCTGTCGGTCCCCGTTAGGACGAGGGGGACCCCTATCTTCCGGCGCTGGGTGGTTACAACTCATCAGCTCGGGTCTGGCCAGGAAATGAATGTCCTGGGCCTAGACCTTTTCCACCCACAATCCCCAGGAGGGACAGCCAGGTTGTCCCACAGTGCCCCATGAAAGCGAGCACAGAGCAGTGCAGTGAGTTATGGTGCTAGGACCCGCAGGATATGTGCTCTCGAGTGGGGCCAGCGCCAGTGCAGGCGCAGGGAGTAATGGCAGCAAGTGGCCACGCCTGCTGCTCGGCACTGTGCCCAGGCTCTCTTGAGCTAGGCCAAGGCACATGATTGCTTAGCTCGAGACCCCACAGCAGTGGAGGTCCTTACCTGAGAACTGTACCGAGCACGAGTCTCTTACCAGGAGCAGCCACTAGAAGGGGACAGAGAGCCCCCCTCTCCCAGCCTGGGTTGTGTTGCTAGTGCAGCCACTGCATGTAGAACTGGCCAAGGCCATCAGCAACAGCGAGCCGTAGGCCTTTGGGAGAGATCCCTTCCCAGCAGGCGGCGTGGGTGGTGGTGACATGTCCTGGGCCAGCTCAGGGTGCTCCCAGTTCCCTGGGCAGGAAGGGAGGAGGTGCTGAGATGCCCACAGACAGGGTGAGGAGCGCATGGAGGCTGTAGGAGCTCTGGGCAGGAAAGAGCATCCCTTTAAATGACAAACCACTGCAGCATTCCCCAGCAATGGTCCAAAGACCTGGGCAGCCCTAGGGCACAGCAGCGCCTGGCCCCAGTCCGGGGAACACTGCAGCCTGGGCAGGGGCTGGAATTACCTGCCTAGCCAGGAGCCCCATTTGCTGTCACTACCAGCCTTGCTTTGTAATGCTGGCCTTTCTCTGTGGCACTCAGCCTGGGATGCCCCGCTCCTCTCCCTTCAGCAGACAATGGGGCTCTGCTGGCTTCCCAGGATGGGAGTTCCCTGTTCTGGCTAATCTGTCCCCTGCTGTCTCAGAGCCAGGACTGCATTGCGGGGGCTCTGGCCTGCAGCAAGATCCTGAAGGAGCTGTCCAAGGAGGAGGACGACACAGACAGCATGGAGGAAATGCTGACCCTGGCAGAAGAGTATGAGCACCGAGCCATCGGTGAGCATTGTTACTATAGGCCGTGCCCGCTCAGTGCAGTGCTCTGTGCCCCGCTGGCGGGGGGAGGGGGAGGCGGTCCTTTAGCTCAGGCAGCTGCGGCTCATGTATCTAGCTCCAGAGATCCCAGGGTCAATCTCTGCTCCCAACAGCTCACCAGCAACAACAGCGTCGCACTATCAGCCCCTCCTTCTGTCTGGAGCCACTGCTCTCTTTCCTGAGTCCGTTCCTGGTCCCTCCCTGGTTCCGACTGGTGTCAGGCACCTCCCCTCCCTCTGGCCGGGGACAATGGCTGGTGATTTCCGATGATGAATGTTGCTCCACGGTCCAGCTGCCAGGCAGGGCAAGGGGGGATCCTGTGGGCCTTGACTATTCCAGTGCTGTGTACTGGTGCCGGATACCCCCAGGCTAGGAGTGTTGGTACACAAAGGTAGATAGTTATCTCCTGGGCATCTGTGAGACAAAGCCATGCTTGGCTGGCTGGCCTTAGGTATGCCGAGGGTGCTGTTCCTGGACCAGGGTCTTTGGTACACACATCTGGGCTCGGGCCATTTGTTTGGAAAGTTGTTGCTTGGGGGCCGGGAAATGTGTCTGGTACCGGGTAGGAGAGGCTGGAGCAGAAGCCACAGTGCAACATAATGGCTGGGCCTGTGACGAGTGCTGGGCTCAGAGGTTGGCAGGAATCAGTTCAGAGCACAGCTGGACATGCCATGACAGAGTAGATTAACTCCAGAGACAGATCTCCAACCTAGCAGGTGCACAAAGCCTGCCTCTGAAGCTTGGACCAACGCAGGGCCCTGCAAAGGACAGGAAGCTCTCGGGAAAATATTCTGGGGCCGGGCTGAACAGCGCTGCCTCTGGCCCCATCCCCAGGAATGGCCTGTCTCCTCCGCGGCACAGGGCTCTCTGAGTGGAGCCTAGAGCCACGCTGGGCACTAGCCTCTCTTCGGCCCATTGCCCACGTTTGACTCTGCTCTCTGCCCTGCTAGGCGTATTCACAGAGTGTTACCGCAAGGACGAGGAGAGAGCCCAGAAGCTCCTCATCCGCGTCTCGGAGGCCTGGGGCAAAACCACCTGCTTACAGCTGGCGCTGGAGGCCAAGAACATGAATTTTGTGTCCCACGGAGGCATCCAGGTGTGTTTCCAGGCTGGGAGGAGGCACCTACCTCTTCCCTGCCCCATGCTAGGACCCAAAGGAGGGTGCCCCACTGCCAGGGCCTTGTGTCGGCTCCCCCAGCACTGTCTCCCACTGCCTGAGCTCGGCCAGGGGAGCACATTTGGCAGCTCGGGCTCCACCAGGTGCTCTGAGAGTGCCTGCGCCCATTACCTGCATAGATCCCATGCCATGCTGCCTGGGAAGGGCAGAGCCCATGAACCTGCTCTCTGAGAGAGGGGACGCGCTGTGGCATGCAGGCTCCCTGGACACCCATGCTTTCCTCACAGGAGATCGCACACATTGTTGGATTGCCCTGAATGCCCCGGCACTCACTGGCTGCCCACATTGTTTCATTGCCCGCAGTCCATTTCCTCTGCTCTTTGGTGGCCACTCGCTGATCCTCAGCCACGCAGGGTCCCTGTGCACCATCCAGACTAGTGAACTACTCAGCAAGCCAATCTCTGCCAGCTTCCATCTGGCACAGCTGTGGGCAGGCCCTGGGTTATTCACTGAGCCCTCCATGTGAGGGGCGTGGATCTGGCCGGGGACGGGGTGGGCCACGGCAACATTTCTGTTTGGGATCAGCCATGCTGGAGCTAGAGGTGAAGGGGGCCAGCTCTGGGCTCCATGTGAGCTTGATTTCCTTCCTTCCTCTCCCACGCCCAGGCCTTTCTGACAAAAGTCTGGTGGGGGAAGCTGTGCGTGGACAACGGGCTCTGGAGGGTGATCCTGTGCATGGTGTTCTTCCCCCTCATCTACACCAGCTTCGTCACCTTCAGGTACTGCCAGGGCTCCTGGGATGGAGCTGGCATGTGGGCCCGGCCCTAGCTGCCGTGCGCTGCTGGGAGTCAGACTATAGGACTCGCATTCCCTGACTGCAGAGTGCTTGCCTCCCTCCTCTGCCTCTCCCCTGTGCCACTGCTGCGTCCCCGGGCTGGCCAGTGGTGTAAATAGTTCTCCCACTGCCATGGGCGGTGCGTGAACTGCCCATTCAGGGAGGCTAGCCCCGGCCCTGCCCCTTCTGCCTGAGGTCCCCCCCCCACCACCCCCTTCCCCCGTGAGAGCCCCCCCCCCCCCCCCCCCCCCCGCTCCAGCTCAAGGCTGCCTGAGCGCCCCCAGGCCCAGAGTGCCGGGCGGGCTGGCCCAGCACCCACAGCCTTGGAGCGCCACGCAGGCAGCCCCAGTGCCCCCAGCCCTAGAGTGCCGGGCGGGCTGGCCCAGCGCCCACAGCCTCAGGGCACCACGCAGGCAGCCCCAGTGCCCCCAGCCCCAGAGTGCCGGGTGGGCTGGCTCAGCGCCAGGTAGCCCGAGCACCGGCCCCAGCTGCCCTGAGTCCTGGGCCGCAGGCCAGTCCACCATAGCCCCAGCCCAGGCCAGGGGGAAGAGTGGGAAACAGGAGGGGGGCTCAGGGCGGAGCGTGGACAGGGCCATGCCTGGCTGTTTGGGGAGGCTCAGCCTCCCGTGGTCTGCAGTACCCACCGCCCATGCCCACTGCCATCCCACACTGCACTGCTCATGCCCCAGCAGCCTGGCTGATCTACTCCCTCCCTCCCTGGGAGAAATGGCCCAGCCCATGGAGCTCACTGAACGCTCTTGTGCCAGCTAGCAGCAGCATTCCGGTTCTGCCGTTAGCTTCAGCCAGCTTACCCGGGAACGTGCTCCCAGCTGGCCAGCACAGGCCTGAGGGCACTGGTGAGCCTCGGGGCAGCCAGGACACTGTCAGAGCTGGGCTCTGTCCTTCGCAAGACGCCGGCCTAGCAGCAGCTGCCCCAACATCTTCCTGGGCAGGGCATTGCTTGGCCTAGCAAGCTGCGATGGGAAAAGATGAGGGGCTTAAAGCACAGTATAATGAGAGTAACAGCAGTCCTGGGCCAAGCAAACCTGCCCATCCCCGAGGGGCTGGGAAGAGTCCCAGGGTTCCCTAGCTGCACTATATCTGCTCAGAGCAAGGCCTCTCCCAATTAGCCCACAGGTCCCGCTCAGCTGCGTCCAGCTCCCCTCTGACAGCTGAGTCAGCTGTTCCTTCCTGCTTCCTTCCCCCACGCAGGGAGAAGAGGCTGCAGCCCATGAGCTGCCTGACACGCACCCGCGCCTTCTTCACGGCCCCCGTCGTCATCTTCCACCTGAACATCCTCTCCTACTTCAGCTTCCTCTGGCTCTTCGCCTACATCCTGATGATCGACTTCCAGGCGACGCCGTCCTGGCGGGAGTACGTCATCTATTTTTGGCTCTTCTCCCTGGTGTGCGAGGAGACCCGCCAGGTACTGGGTGGGCTCAACAAAGGCGTGGGGGGCAGGGGAGATGGTGGTGATGGTGCAATCCAGGCTCTGCAAGGCGTCTCTCCCAGTCAGCGAGGGCTGCCTGCCCCAGGGTCTCTCGGCAGGGCAGCAGCCGTTCCTGTTTTCGCACTGCTGCGTGTGCTCCCACAACAATCCCATCACCTACGCCAGCCAAATGGTGATGTCGCACCCATCAGTCGGCCACACACTCACTCGCACACTCTCACACTCCACTCTCACGGGGTTCACGCCAGACGGGCCCTTTGGACCATCTAGTCTGGCAGGGCCGGCCTTAGGGAAAATGGCGCGCTGGGTGAACTTGTATTTTGGCACCTCTGGCCCCTGTGGACGCAGTGCCCCCTATCCCCTCTGGCTCCCATGGGTGCCCCCCACATTGCCCCTGGCCTCCACAGGCTCTCCAGACTCCCCAGTCCCCTGCGCTCCTAACCCCTGTGCCCACATGGGGAAACTGACCTGGATGCACAGAGCGGCTGGTATTGCTGCTCGCTCCCCCCTTGAACACTGCTCCTCCGCGCACCCCTCGGGGGCTGTGACGCGGGGAGCGACGTCAGGGCTCCCAGCATCCAGGTCACTTTCCCCGCCTGGGCTATGTAAAGGGAGGGCAGGAGAGCAACAGCTCCTGATGCCTCACAGCACAGCCTGGGTGGGAAAGTTACTTGGATGCAGGGAGCCCTGGCGTTGCTCCTCACTCTCCCCCTTGCAGCCCCCTGGGGGGCACAGAGGAACATGGGGGGGCCGAGAAGTATGTGTGTCACTGCTCCCACACATGTTCCTCCGATGGGAGGAAGCAGGGAGACATCTGGGCACCTCCCCCAAGTGATGCTCCCCTGCCAGCCAGGAGCAGTTTCTGACACTACACCAGCAGCGCGCACCTCTGCACTGCCGCACGGCGCCCTCTTGACCATGGCGCCCCGGGCGGTCACCCGGATGGCCCCCCCTAAGGTTGGCCCTGTAGTCTGGCCTGCTGTACATCATACACCAGAGAATTTCACCGAGCCATGACAGTATCGAGCTCAGTCACTTGTGTCCGCACGCCTTTCAGGAAGATGTGCTTTAGTCAATCTGAGACAGCAAATCCACCACTTCCCATGGTAGTTTGTTCCCGCTTGGCCCTCTGGTGTTCTCCAGACATCATTCTGCCCCGGCGATCAATCTTCATTTAAAGTTACAGAGGCGCTCAGTATTGGCAGCATTTGGCTGTTTTATGTCCCTGCCGAAACCTCCGAAGAAGGTGGCAGAGCAGAAGTATCAGCAGTACGGTCCTGTGCTTAGATGTCCTGGGGTAGCAAGCTGCAATGGGAAAAGATGAAGGGCCTTAAAGCAGCGTATAATGAGAGGCAAGAGCATCAGAAGCTCCCTAAAAGGGGCAGGGCCACCAGCACTCCTGCACCGCCCCTTCCCCCTGAGGTCCTGCCCCTACGCTGCCCCTTCTCCCCCGCCCTCGCACCACACCTTGCCCCAAGATCCTGCTCCCGCGCTGCCTCTTCCCCCCCACACCCCACCCCCTGTTCGCACCTCTCTGCCCCCTCACCCCCATCACTCGCCCTTTGGGCCAGTATAAAGGGGGAGGGCATAGCCCCCTAGCCCCCTGATGAGAGTAACAGCAGCCCTGGGCCAGGAAAAGCTGCCCATCCCTGAGGGGCTGGGGAGAGTTCCCAGGGTTGGCACTGCAGCCCTAGCAATCACCAGTGGCCACAGGTCTGCACTGGCTGGCTGGGAGCACATACCCAGGTAAGCTGGCTGAAGATGGCATGGGATCACCCTCTCTGTTCAAAACATGGGCCTTAGTTCCAATATGAATCTATCTGGCTTCCGCTTCCAGCCATTGGTTCTTGTTCTGCCTTTCCCCCAAGATTAAAGAGCTCTTTAGCACCAAGTATTTTCTCCCATGCTTACAAGAAAGGATTGAGGGCATAGGCCTAACCCAAGTCGGGGGAGAAAACTTTGGTATCTCCGGCGTTTCATAGTCTGCCTCCACTTGTCAGCCCAATTTACCCTTCCAAATCCATGACATAGTGTGAGGGACTAGCAGGGATCCTTTGGCAATTTGTAGCGATTATAGAGAGAGTCACTGATATGCTGGGTTGACTGAACTGGAGGGATAGTGCAGGAGACCCCGGTACCCACAGAGAAAGTTGGTGGCATTCATAAATTCTGACAGGGGATGGATGGGTGTTGAATGGGCAGGGGAAAGCATAAGAACTCCTTCCCCTCCCAAGGTTTTGTTTCAACTGCTCTTGTGGATACTTTTGGGCTGAGTCAGGGGCAGGAGGAGAAGTGCCCAAGATACTGAGACCTTCCTAAATGAAGGCACTAAGGCTGAAATAAGGAACTGGCAGCTTTATGGACCCAGGGGTATCTCCCAGCAGCCTGTGCCACCATGCTTTGAGCCCCCTGTAAAACCAAGCGTGGATATATTGGGGTGGTTCCAGGAGACCTGGTCAGGAGCCTGGAGGGGATCTTCTCAGCAGGTGTGGATGGAGTATCTGCAACTTCCCACAGAAACTGTCCCATAACTGTAGTATAGATGAGAAGATGGGAAGTCAGGGATTATTTCTGTGGGAAGAACTGTCCTTGTGTGTTTGTCCCAGAGCTGAGGTGAACCCAAGATCTGTTCTATAACCCCGCGGGACGACAAAGAATCATCGTCACCAGCAAGGATTCATAACTCATTGAGATGGAATCACAGAAAATGCCAGGTCCTTAGCTGGTGTCGATAGCACAAGTGCCCCTGACTTCTAGGGAGGTGGTCTATGTGACTTGAGTGGAGCTATGCACCAGCTGAGAATCTGGCCCACTTCTCACAGCTAAGCAGTCAGGCCATGTTAGAACGTGGGTTAGGAGAGCTCCAATGTGCTCCAAGATCTGATACTGGAGATTCATTGCCCTTTTGTTACTCAGATCACTGAGAAATGACCTCAGGGTTTGGCCAAAAGGAAAATGGTAAGAATGAATCAGCCGTGGGGGTGTATGCAAGGATCCTACCGGCAGGGCCGGCTCTGGTTTTTTTGCCGCCCCAGGCAAAAAAGCCTCCGGCCGCCCCCCCCCCCGGGGGGGGGGCGGCCGGAGCGCCGGGGGGAGGGCGGCGAGCCCCGGTGGGGGCTCCGCTCTCCCTCCGGCGGCCGGGGGGAGGGCGCCGGGGGGGAGGGCGGCCAGAGCGCCGGGGGGAGGACGGCGAGCCCGGCCGTGGCCCCGCTCTCCCCAGCGGCCGGAGCGCCGTGCCGCCCCCCTCCAGGTGCCGCCCCAAGCACAAGCTTGGTGGGCTGGTGCCTGGAGCCGGCCCTGCCTACCGGTCCCTTTGGAAATAACCACGGTCAGATTCCCAGCCTCACTCCATTATGCACAAGAAGAGTTCTAGGTCAGCCTCTCAAATGCACTAGCAAATATTTTACAGGACATCTAAGAACAGGACCTGCTACCTTCTTCAGAGGTTTAGGCCGGGACATAAAACAGCTGAGTGCTGCCAACACCAAGAGCCTCTGTATTTTAAATGAAGATTGGTCACCGGGGAGAATGACATCTGAAGAACACCAGAGGGCCAAGTCTCAGGGATTGTTGAGGATTCTCCTGGTACCAAAATCACCATGGCAGGGAAATTCATTATCAATTGAAGCCCACTCCCCCATTTCCTCCCACCCCCTCCAAATCCAGCTCAGATTCCTGTTGGGGACCCAGTGCAACAATTGCTGTCTCAAGTGCATAGAAGCAGCATATGTTCTGTTTATTGAAATACCGAAACCACTTCTTTTCCTAACAGCTCTTCTATGACCCCGATGGCTTTGGGTTACTGAAAATGGCTTCCTTGTACTTCAGTGATTTCTGGAACAAACTGGATGTTTGTGCCATCTTGATCTTTATAGCAGGGCTGATCTGCCGGTAAGTATGAGGGACTCTATAGGACAATATCAAACTGCTCTTTGCTGGAGTTGCTGGAAAACCAGGGAGGGGAATTTGCAAAAGAGGTGGTTGGAATTTTTTCAGTGTAATCAGATGAAACTTTTCATCGAAACGTGGATCATTCTGCCCAGCTCTGCGCTGTCCCCAGCTGCTGTGTCACTCCATCGGATAGGTTTTGTGCTTATCCCTCTCTCAAATGGGACTCTAGGGATAGATTTATTTGTTCCCCAGGAAAGCAGGCTGTGAATTTTTCTGTTTTAAAAAGGCAGTAACATTGGTTAAGACAATGCACTGATGTGTCTTCCTTTCCCCTGTCTGTGTCAGATGGATCCCATCCACTTTATATCCAGGACGGATCATATTGTCTCTGGCTTTTATTATTTTCTGCTTGAGGCTGATGCACATTTTCACAGTCAGTAAAACTCTGGGGCCCAAGATCATCATAGTGAAGAGAATGGTAAGAGCTACTCCTCCCTGCAGATGGCATGATGTCAGTAGGAGCAGAGTGGGGCCTGCATGCGAAATGTGATCCGGGTATAGGAGCTGTCAGCTGTGCATGCATTTGTTCTGGGAGAGCATGTAATTCTCTGCGTCTGATCTGTTGAGGGGAACCTTTTCACTCCTGCTTGTCTCATGGCTTTGCAGATGAAGGACGTCTTCTTCTTCCTCTTCCTCTTGGCTGTCTGGGTTGTATCCTTCGGCGTAGCCAAGCAAGCTATCCTGATCCATAACGAGGAGCGTGTGGACTGGATCTTCCGGGGCGTCGTCTACCATTCCTACCTGACGATTTTTGGGCAGATCCCTTCCTACATCGACGGTACGGAACCCAGGGTTTCTCGCAGGCTCCTGGCTGGGCCATGACAGCGCTTGGCATGAGATTTCCAAAGCTGAATGTCTTTGTTACAGTGCAGACATCCCTCTGCTGTTCTCCTATTGCTAAAACGGCCAGTCTAGTCCTGCCAGCGTGCAGGGGCTCCACACAGCTCAGCCCCTTCCCAGCAGGAGTCCAGTAGCAGCTTGGCTCCCAGATTTTGACACAGACCAGCAGGAAATGAGGCTCAGAGTGAAAGAATGAAATTGAAATAAAACATGAAAGCCAAAGAGAGCGAGAAGGGCAGAGAGGAGTGAATCTGGGGCTGTGCCCAGAGCTGGTTTGCCATGTCCTTTACCATGCACATCCTGGCTCAGACCAGCATCACAGAAGGATGTGAGCCCCTTCCCTGCTTTCATGCCACTTTGAGGAAGGCGTAGGAATAAAACACAACAGGCCAGCACATCCCTTCCAGGACACCTGCTTGATGCAGAGGCAACTCCCTCGAAGTCAGTGGGCCAGATCGCAAGCTGGTGTCAATTGGTCTAGGCCCACTGAAGCCAATGGAGTATTACACCCATCAAACTGGTGTCATGGAGTGGAGACCTGGGCTCAGTGCTTGTGTCAGAGAGGGCACATGAGGTGTCACCAGAGACAGGAGAACTAAAACTAACGTGACCCAGAGAGGCTGATCCTGTGAGGTGCTGAGCTCCCTCAGCTCTTGTTGCTGTCAGAGCATTGAGGATGCTCAGCACCTTTAAGGATCAGGACCAAGAGCAGCAGGGACCCTTGCCTGACTGTTTCTCTCCCAGCATTCTCCACTTCCTTCACAAATGCATCCCAAATAGTGTCTCAACCCCACTGCTCTGCTGGCATAGGTGGGGTGGTGCCGTTCATTAGTCATGCATAGTCACATGACCATCACTGGTTTCCATGGAAATATTCAGACTCCTGAAGGGGTTGCACATTTGCAGGGGAAGTGCCAGGTTTGCTATTAGTCATTTCTCCCCTCTTAAAGAGTTACCCTGACCCAATCAGGAAACAGAAACAACACCATGTGGCCAATCACATGCTGTAAATGACAGCTAGAATAAAGCAGTGGGGAGCTATTCTCAGGATGGGAACTATGACTCCAATCTTACATGCAAATACAAAGGACAGTCTCCGGAATTGGGAATGCTGCATGAATGACTCACCATTCTGAGAGAGGCCTGAATTCCACTCATCGGCAGGTCAGGTAACGCTGTTCTACCAAGTCTAGAGGGTAACTCATCACTGATTAGCGACTGCACCTGGCAGCCTCGGGGGTGGAGCAGAGAAAAAGCTCCAGCCACTTTCCTACCTGTGAGTAGTTGCTAAGAAACGACCAGTCAGTTACAAGCGTCTATTGCTCCATTGTCCTAGAGGCAGCTGGGGCAGATTCGCCATGCAGGGACTAAGTCTGAGGACCCCACAGAACTCCCTGCCCGGGAAGAGCAGGAACAAAGTAGTGTTGCAGACTGAAGAGGGCTGCTGTTAAGCCGGTCTGTTTAAGGTGGGCTGCTGGGTCCATGCAGAGCCGCCCAGATCAGCAGCATGTAAAACACAGCCGGGGCAATGACAGAGCCTGCCATTGTGAAACTGGTCTCTTCTCTCGCAGGGGTAAACTTCAATCTGGATCAGTGCAGCCCGAATGGAACAGACCCCTACAAGCCCAAGTGCCCTGAGAGCAATAAGGACAAGCGGCCCGTCTTCCCCGAATGGCTGACAGTCATCTTGCTCTGCCTGTATCTGCTCTTCACAAACATCCTCCTCCTCAACCTACTCATCGCCATGTTCAAGTGAGTCAGACCCAGCGCCGCCACCCCCTGCTCACTGCACCTGTGGGGGGCCATTGGGCAAAGCGAGGGTGAATTAATGCTATTATAAAGGGGGGGGGGGGGCTGCTCAGTGCTGGAGCACACCAAACTGGGGGAAGGGGCAACAGCGTGCCAGGCATACCGCTGCTCGGGGGCAGGCAGTGTAGGGGCTTCAGCAGCGAGGTGTTGCAGGCACTAGCCCGGGTGGGTCCCAGGAACCACTCAGACACAGGGCTCAGGGCAAGGCCTTTCCTAGGGCTGGCAGGAAAAGGGAAGGTTGCACCCCAGAGACAGAGGCTTCAACTCAGCTCAGCATGAGCCACAGTGGCTCCTGTGTGGTCCTGGGACACTCCAGCTGAGAGTCCAGCTCTTCGGGCCTGATGCCTGGGGTCCCCTCTCCGGGCCTGACTCTATCCAAACAAATAAGCATTGCGAGTTTCCAGGCCAGGCTTGGTTAGTGTCTCTCATTGGGACCTATCTGCACTGCTCCGTGCCCAGCTGCTGCTGCTCCCCGATAAGCCCCGCACGGACCTGAGCCTGGCTGTCACAGCCTGTTCCACAGGGCTCTGTGCACGGCTCCTGGGGATTCCTCTCTGCAGCTCCTGGCTTGCCATGCAGCCCCTGCTTCCTGAGCATGGGAAGCCCCTCCTCCTGCCTGGCCCAGGGCAGGGATGAGCAGTGGGGAGGGGCTGCGGGGAGTTGTAGTGTCTTGCTTAGCTGATCCATCCCACTATCCTGTACTTGAGGGGAGCAGGTGCCCTGACCTGCATGTGTATGGAGGGATTTGGGGGCCCCAGGCTCACTGACTTCTATGTGTGGGCCTTGGGTGCACTGACCTGCATGAGGGGCAGATTGGGGGGCCCCAGGTGCACTGACGTGTAGGGGGGTAGGTTGTGGGGTCCCAGGTGCACTGACCTGTGTGTGTAAGGAGGTGGACTGGGGCCCCCGGATGTACTTGTCTATGTGTCGGGGGGGTTGAATTGGGGACCCTGGGTGCATTGACCTGTGTGTGGGGAGATGGACTGGGGCCCCCAGGTGCACTTGTCTATGTGGAGGGGGGTGGATTGGGGGCCCCAGCTGCCCTGACCTGTCTGGGGGGTGGATGGACGGTCCCAGCTTCACTGGCGTGCCTGGGAAGGTGGATTGGGGAGTCCCAGGTGCCCTGACCTGTCTGGGGGTGTGTGGATTGGGGGTCCTGGGTGCCCTGACCAGCTTGAGGGGTGGATGCGGGGTCCCAGCTGCACTGGCCGGCATGCAGGCTAGTTCCTGGGCACACTGGCTCAGATGTCAGGTGACCTGCTCTAGATGCAAGCCTGAGATACCAGCCAAAAGCCTGAGGAACCTGGTGAGCTGGTTGGGTGCTGTGGTGCAGACGTATTGTCAGGCCCCCAAGAAAGGGTCCATCTGCACCTCCTTTGGGAGCCCATCCACCCCTCTGTGCCAGGGCCAACCCCTGAGCCCTGCAGGGCAGCAGGAAGGGAGGCCAGAAATGAAAGGAAAATCAAGGCTGGAAGCCAGCAAGAAGGGCAGAATGCAGTGCTTGGGGTGGTGCCCAGAGCTGGCTTGCAGACCCCCTGCCTGGCACCCGCTGGCATGACCATAGCTAATCCCTTGCCCCCTGGGCCCTCCTCCCAGCTACACGTTTCAGCAGGTGCAGGAGCACACCGACCAGATCTGGAAGTTCCAGCGGCACGACCTGATTGAGGAGTATCACGGCCGGCCTGCTGCTCCCCCGCCCTTCATCCTCTTCAACCACTTGCAGCTCTTTGTCAAGAGGGTCCTGCTCCGGCAGCCGGCCAAGCGGCACAAACAGCTCAGTAAGGAGTTCCTTCCCAGGCCAGGCCGGTCGTGACGCGGTGGGGCCTTGCCTCCGCTAGGCTGGGCTAGGGCAACAGTGCATCGCGGGCCACAGCGGTTTGCAGCATTGCATTGGCCGTGGCTTGAAGGGCTATGGGGAGACAATGATGTTCTCCAGGCCAGACTGGGATCTGGAGGAGACATAGTGCCACTTGGGTGTGAGTGGCATGGAGTAGGGCCTGGGTCTGAGGGACCTGGGGGTTCTCCTCCGGTGCTCAGCTCTTCGGTTTCTTCTGCAGAAGAAAAGCTGGAGAAGAACGAGGAAGCGGCCCTTCTCTCCTGGGAGACGTACCTGAAGGAGAACTACCTGCAGCACCAGCAGTGCCGGGAGAAGCAGAACATGGAGCAAAAGATCCGAGATGTCGCACAGAGGTACCGGCCCCTCTCGCCCCGTGTTCCCTTGGGAAAGACCTGTGGGTGTCAGTGCTCTCTGATGTCACGAAGGGAGCTCTGAGTGGGGGGGCTTTGGGCAGCTGTCCCCAGGGTCCCCTTCCTAGTCCCTCTGAAGCCGGTGAGAAAAAAGGCTTTTACAACAACCACGTCTACATGCATATCTCGCGTACTTGAAGCCCTGGCATCCCCTGATGGGAACCCAGGTAGGCCTGGCTTCTTCACACGCCCCAGCGGGGGCCGTCTCAGTCGGGCTCCCCCAAACAGCTACTTCCCTTTCTTGAGAGAGAGGCCCCCTTTTTAAACCCCATTATAGTTCTTCAGCGCTCCAGTGTTCCTGGGCCTTCCCCATCCTGGCGTTATCCCTTAACAGCCCTCAAGTGTTTGTGGAGAAGTGGCTTATCCTTTTCTGCTTGTTTCTCCTGACAGCCCCCATTAAACTAAACTCAAGCAGTTTGCACAGTAACATGCCAATAACCAGGTCGACACAGAGTATTACCAACCCATCACACCCTGCCCCCAGCTCCTGGAGCTGTGATAGCCCTGGGACATTCCCATCCAGTGCGTCTGGCTCAGCTGTGACAGAGTCTGTGGGGGGACTCATCGCACTGCTGGGAGCAATAGATCAGTGATGTTCGTTTGCCTTTCGCAGCCTCTTTCCTTATAACCCAGCTGTTTTGCTCCCATTCCCATCGCCCCCAGCGTGCTAACAGGCTGCTGGGGCTCCCTCCAGATCCTGTCTCCTCAATTGTGGGGCCACCACAGTGAGACACACTTCTCTTTTCCCTGGGGGCTGCATGTGTGGCTCTGCAGTGCTCCAAGCACTAGACCAAGGGATCGATGACTAGTGGCTTTGGGGCTCATAGTGAAAACTCAACCCAAGGTAAGCCAAGCACTTGGTGTATCTGCCACTGGAATGGCCATTGAGCCCTGCCGAGGGTGCGTTGCAATGCACTTGGCTTCTCTCCCTGGTCCCTGGCTGGGGATGCTGCAGGGGCAGTGCACTCAGTGATTTGAGAAAGCGAGCATCCCTCTGGAGTGACTCCTCCTGTCGACTCAATGGGCTCGGAGTGAAGTCCGGAGCAGAGGGATAGGTCAGTGGAGGAGAGCAGTCGGATTATTAGGGCTCAGGTGCCCTGGAGACAAGGAAAGAATCGCTGTTAGTTCTCAAGCCCTGGCCGCCGGAGGCCTGGCGAGGCCAACGGAAGACCCTGTCCAGCAGCCAGCGGAGATATAGGGTGTACGTGTGGGAGTGATTTGGAGCTCTTGCACATCCAGAGGATACGTTAGGGGTGTGAAGGAGCAGCTTGGACCTGAGGCTCCGTGAAGAGCCTTGTTCACACTCTAGCAGTTACTCCTGGCACAGTGGCTCCCGGACACTCCTGGGCTGGCACAGGTGTCAATGAGAGCAGAATGTGGCCCACTCTCTGCAGGGCTATAGGGCTGTGCTAAGCTTGCTGTCTGGCAGGGGAGATAGTGGGTTGTTGCGTGTGGGTGAGACACGCAGTGCGGCTTGTGAGGGATTTAGTGCACACGAAAGGTGCCTGGTAGCATTGGGCAGAGCTAAGCAGAAGGCAGGTAGGTGTGTGCCAGCCCTCGCCCATCCCGCATCGCACCTTGGGGTGAACTTGCGGCATCCCGCTGCTTGCACTGTGGCCTCCGCTGTCTATGTGATCTGCAGAAATGGGACTCGGGGGCAAACCAAAGGCTACAGCACTAGCCAGATGCAGCAGCGAGCGAGCTCCGGAGCAGGAGTTCTGCACGGCTAGTGCATGTGATCCGCATGTGCTGCACCTCTCAGTACGGGCCAGACTGGCCCTGCTGCCAGCGCAGAGAGGGCAAGGAGCTGGCCCCACCTCCATGCACCCTGCACCACTGTGTGCAGACAGGGGCAGGGAGGAGCAGTCCCCCAGCATGGCTGCTGCGGAGCGGGCCTCTCTGAGATAGGATGTACTGCCGTGCCAAGGGATGTGCCGCGTGCACACTCAGCTGTGCTCCAGGGAGCAGGGGACACTGAGGCACAACCCTCTGCAGATGTGCCCCGGGGCAACTCCACCCTGCCTCCTCCTCAGCAGCACCCACCAGGGATGAAGAACAGTGGGGGGCGCTGGGAAGGCAAAGGCAGGAATTCGGCACTTTGAGCTGGCAGGCGGTGCGAGGGGCAGGGTGTCTGTGGGCAGCGCTGCGTGAAGGCAGGCAGGCAGGCTGCCCTGACCCCGGAGCAGCACCTCACTGGCTGTATGCAGCTGCGCAGGACACCTGCTCGGCGTCTCGTCCCCCAAGGCTCCTGTCTCCTCTCGCCCTCTCGCAGGGTGGACGTATTGGTGGAGTTGCTGGATTTAGATCGGGTGAAGAGGACCGGTCTGGTGGAGCAGAGGCTGACTGGTCTGGAAGAGCAGGTGAGACAGAGCTCGAGGCACATCGAGAGGACAGATGTTGTCACGGATGGGCTTGCGTGGAGTGGGTGGCATTTGGGATTGGGGGCTGTATCGGGGCACTCGGGATTGGGAGTGGGGACTGGGCTGGGGCCTGGGCAGCTGGCCATGTTCAGGATCGGGGGTCATGGGGGGGGCCCAGGGAGTGGGTCAGAGGCCGGAGAGTGGGTCGCGTTGAGAATCGAGCAGGCAAAAGTCTCATCCAACTACTCTGGGAAGACTTGCGCTATTGGGGGACGATATAGTCCCATCCCACCCCTGAGCCTCAGCTCCTCTTCCATTAGATCCCCTTCAGCAGAGGAAGCCCAGCAGAACTGGGCACTGATTTCAGTCCCAAGGTCAGAGGAATTACACGGGGGGTTACGCTCCCTGAGACCGTCTCCTGGGGCGGGGGGAGAGAGCTCCAACCATTGTCCTGACAAAGCAGGGCCATGTCCCTTCTGGCTCTCACAATCATGGTAAAATTGAACTAAACCGAAATCCAAACACATCCCTGAGCCTGGAAATGGGGCATCCATGGACCCCCCATGTCCAAGCTGGGGCCTGGGCAGGAGATGCTGGGAGGTGGCTTTCCCTGACGGTCTGCCCTGCTCTGGATAGATGTCCCAGACTGCCAAGACCCTGGCCTGGATCGTGCGGGCCCTGCGTGGGAATGGATTTGGTTCAGAGGAGGACATGCCCACCATGGGTAAGTCCAGCCAGTCTCTGGCTGCCAGCGTGTGAGAGGAAAGACCAGCCTTTGTCTTCCAGGACCCGTTTCTCCTCTCACTTCTCCAGGGTTCCCACCAGCGTCACTCCGCTGGCTCCAGCACAGGCCTGATTGGCGCCATGTCTGAGAGCAGGACGGGGCAAGAGGCTCCTGGGTGAGCTGGGTGGCAGGCCCTGCCCCATTGCAGAAGGAACACAGAGAGTCCTGGATGCCCTGAGCTGGGGGAAGGGAGGAGGGGTTGTTCTTAAAGGGCCTGCTCCTGTTCCCAGGGCAGGCAGGGGGCATTGTGCCCAGGCTGGGAGGTTCGCTGCCAGCTTCTGCATACCCTGTGTGGGCTGTGCCGTGGCGGCTGGGTGCTACACCGTGCAGCAGACTCCTACTAATTCCCCTCCCCGCCTCCAGCCCCACTGTATTGGAGATCATCCTTCCCACCCCTTCCCCAGCAGCTCCCCACCTCCACTTGCCCCACAGCTCCCTCCCATGCTGGATTCCTTCTCCGGGCCCTCGGAGTCTGTGCAGGGGGAGCAGGGCTGTGGGATGGGGAGGGGGCAGGGGTGTATGTGTGACTGTGCTGGGGAAGGGAGGAGAGGCAGACCCACTTCTATGGGGCAATGCAACAAATTGCAAGTTGTAGGCCGAAATCTTCAGCAGCCAATGTCCTCTGCAGACAATGCCCGCACTGAGGGGGTGGCCAGGGGCACAGGGCCTGAAGCCTACTGGCCCCAGCAGGAGACTTTCCAGTGTTCCCAGGCCCAGAGAGTCTGGGTCAGGCCGAGAGAGTGGTGAAGCAAAGCCGTTCTCATGGGGAAACCCAGCTAACCCTGGCAGCAGGCGGCACGAACCCCATTGCTTTCACCCCAACTCTTCTCAGAGGTCACGTTCCTCTGCTCCATGGGGGTCTCGGCTCTTTGTGTTTACCTCCCAGTCCCCAGCAAAGCCCCGGAGCTGAAGGAGTACGGCTCAGAGGAGAAGCCAGAGGAGACGACGGCTCTGTACCATGTGAGCGCCCGCAACCTCCTCTATCCCAGCTCCTCCACAGTCCGTTTCCCGGTGCCGGACGAGAAGGTGCCCTGGGAGGTAGGAGAGCGCCACTGTAGGGAGCAGGGCCCGTGGATGGGAGACCTGCCTGGAGGAGAGGGACCGTAGCCTGTGACGCTTGGGGCGTGTTGATGGAGGCAGGCAGGTCCAGTGGGCAGAGCCAGGAGCCAGGAACCCCTGTGCCCGGCTCTGATGCTGCCTCACTCGGTGACCCTAAGCCCAAGATGTCAAGCGAGGGGGCCTCCAGCCATGGTTCGGCCACGTGGCCTGGGGAGGGAGCTCAGCAGCTCGGCACAGCAGGCCGAGGGGAGTCTGGACCTACCTGCGGAATTAAACGCTGCACTTTGGACACTTCCCACCGTGGATGCCGGACTCCCCCTTGCTGTGCCCATGTCTGTGCTGTCCTGAGTCCCATTTCCAGCAGTGAGTCGGGCGCTCATTGCAGGTCCCACCCCCATGCCAGCATCCCTCCTGGAGACAGGTGAGACTCCTGCGGCACTGGGTGCACTTGAGGACGTTCCCCAGAGGGCGCTGGCTGGGCTGTACTGCCTTAGCGGTGCTGGGCCTGGGGCTGCCCCATCCCACTGGGAGGCCAGCCCGCTCCCTGAGGATCCCAGGGGAGGCTGAACTAAACTCGGAGCTCAGGGACCAGCTGTGCCAAAAACAGACACCCATGCGAGGCTCAGTGAAATGGGGAGGGCAGAGAGGGGCTCGGGGGAGCCGTGTCAGTGTTCCCGCTGGCTTCGGCAGCCCAGGATTAGGCCCTCAATGAATCCTCTCCTCTGAGAGCCCAGCCTTGCATCTTTCACTTGGCGTGTGGTTCCCCCCACCCTCAATTTCAGCAGAATTCCTCAGCGTCAGTGCTCCATGGCTGGGCTCCGATGGGAAACCAAGGAGGCCAGTCCTTATATCCCTCAGAGGGTAGTTCCTCTGGGCCACGTTGGGGTTCACCAGCTCTCTGGAGGGGGCTGTGCCGTCCTGGAGCCACTGGCGGGAGGGCTGTGCCCCTGGGCTGGCGGGACGTGTGTGAAGTGGTTTGTGTGCTCTGCAGGTGGAGTTCCAGATCTATGACCCTCCCTTCTACACAGCAGACAGGAAGGAGGTGGCTGCAAGCGATCCTCTCAGAGAGTGAGTGTGGGATCAGGTAGTCTCTCTCTCTCTCTCTCTCTCTCACTCTCATTCTCTCAACCCCCGACCTCTCTTCCAGCCCCCTGCCTTTATGTATCCATCTCCCCCACTGGCTGGCTGGCTGTGCCAGCAGCGCTCTCCTGCTCTCTGCCCAGCCCTGGCTCTCTCCCGCGCCAGCCGGCTGGCTCCGTTGGTGTTTGTGGCTGCTCCCCAGCGCCGTGTGTGCTGAAGAGGACAGGGGCTCTGTTCTGTCTTCCAGCTCCCTGGAAGCTCTTTCGAAGATAAACTACAATGCGATGGATGGACTGATCAACCGACAGAGCTTCCACGGCACGTATGCTGTCCAGAACAGGCTGCCACTGTGAGTGAGCCAGGCGGGGGGGCATCTCACACAAACGCTGCCAAAGCAAACTGGCTCTGTTGCCTTGGCGCTTTGGCTCCGGCTCAGTGGTACCGTTTCTCCCAGGGGTAGGGAGGAAGAGGGCAGCCCAACTTCAGACCAGTCACAAGCCACATGTGCCTCTTGCGGTCTCACAGTGCAGTGCACAGTCACTCAGATCGCATGGACGGCATGTGAACGCCCCCTTTGGGGAGGCTAGCCCCCGGCCCTGCCCCCTCTGCCCCAGGCCCCCCCCCCCCCCCCCCCCCCGGGCCCCGGGCCCCCCCCCCCCCCCCCCCCGTGGCCAGAGGAGTCCTGGCCGAACCACCCAGACCCCCGGGCTGTGGCTGGCCCAAGCACCAGCCCAACCCCTGGACCGCCGGCCAGCCCAAGCCGCCCCTGGCCGTTGGCCTGCCTAAGCTATCCCTGGCCGCCAGGCGCCCCAGTCCGCCAGCCGGCCCAAGCTGTCGGCTGGCTGAGCCCTGAGCTCCAGACTGCTGCCCGAGCTGAGGCCCTGCCGGCTTCGGGGGAGAGTGGAAGCAAGGGCGGGGCCTCGAGGCGGAGCATGGGCAGGGCCACGGCCTAGGTTTGGGGACGCTTAGCCTCCCATGGCCTATTATACCTGCCGCCCATGTCTGATCTTAACACAGAAGGAGGCCTGGTGGGTTGCTCACTTGTGATCAGAGTGGTTAGTTCTTGACTCACACTGTCTGGGATTACTCCATTAAATCCATGGGAGTTGTTCCTGACATACACCCACGGGTGGGAGGCGGAATCAGGTCCCTAATCTCCATCCGCTTCTCCCTCAGATTAGCAGCGAGAGCTGCTGCTTCCTGCCCCATGTTATGTGAATCTGAGCAGTGCTTGGAAAACACGAGGAAGCTCAGGAGATCCCCAGCCCAGCTCCACTCACCAGGTCTTGGGTTTCCTGAAACAGCCTGAAATGTTGCAGATGCCCTGCCTGACTCCCCAACTCCTTTCCAATCTGCCCGGCGGTTTCAAGGGAAGAGGGGGGTTAAAAGCTACTCACTGCTCCTAACTGGGAGGATGTCTCTGCGGAAAACTGGCCCTCCACTTCCCTCAGGGAGTGCTGTGCCCCTGGGCCCCCCTCCTCCTGCCAGCCTGGGCCCTGAGGCTGCTTTTGTCCTGGAAAACACGGAACTGGCCATTTGCTGGGAAAACCACCAGAGCTCAGTGAGAGACTTGGGGCTCCCACTGTCAGCCAGATCTGTGCTTCCCGTGCAAAGCATGAGGTCTGTGGTGCTGACTGAGGGATGGGGCTGGAGCTGGGTGGTGGACCCATTCAGGCAAAGCCTCCTGACCATTCAGGAGTGAAGGAGAGGTGGAAAACCCACACCTTGGAGCAAGGGAGCCCCAACCCCTAGAGCAAGCAGTACACCTCCAGCAAGTAGTGTCTGCTCAGAGCCCAACGGGCCCACTCTCCTGAACAGGCTAATTCCTTTCAGGGCAGGCTCTGGCTACCTGGGCTGGAGGAAGGGCAGCAGTTTCTGAAGCCGTCAAAGTGAGGAGGGGCTGGGTACATGCATTGAAAGGGCATGACTCCACTGCACGTTTTCCCTCCAGTCAAGGGTTTGCCAGTGAATTGGGGGAAGTTAATATACTGGGAAAGGCTGCTGTGGGCATGCCCTGTATTCTGGAACAGACGTTCGGGGAGCGACTTCAGCAGATACTCGCAACTCACTGGCAAGCCATTCACTCAAGTGTGGGGAAAGTCCAGGGAAAGAAACCCTAATATGTCAAAGCAGGTTCTACAGGGGAAACATTTCTACCCAAAGTTACTCTGCAAACTTCTCTCCATGGACAGGGACCAGGCTGTGTGTCTGATGGTGCCTCTGACACTGTGGAAAATAGTGCCCTTGATCCTAAACCAACCAAAGCTCCATGCAATTGTACCCTAGAAGCCTCATGACAAAGCAAAATGGAAACAGACGATGGCTCCTGGGGAAATGGGATGGTGAACAAGAACCAAGAGACATGGCCCTTTCTATCCTGGTGGAAGCATTCCCACCTTCCAATGCGCCCCCCACTGCTGTAGGTAACCCCACTGTGCACTCATAACTAGAAGCCACCATAACTTCTCCTGTCCTGGTGAAGGCGTCTGGAATGTTTGTTTATGTTCATTTCCTGAAATTGGGTTGAGCAATTATCCTTTGATGGTTGGAATTTTTCCAAAGCTCCAAGAAACGAATACCGGAGTAGAAATGTGTCTTCCTTCAGGGCTGTGCTGAAACATTTCCAGCGCCTTTGTTGTTTGAACAAACACAGCGTCACCCCATGACATTGGCCGTTGAGTTCCATGAGCGACGGCGTGATTGAACAAGCCAATAATCCTGGCGAAGGGATACCAATGCCTCTCTGGCTCTTTCTGTGCTAGGAATCCTATGGGCAGGACGGGGTTACGAGGCCGAGGAAGCCTACGCTTCTTTGGACCGAACCGTGCGCTGCACCCCATAGTGACGCGGTGAGTACAGCGAGTGAGATCTCGGCTTGCACGTCTGGGCACCATTCTACTGGCACGTGGCAGTTACTTGACTAGAGCAGCACCCTCTACTGGCTGAGCTAGGAACATTATGTCTGTAACTAGGGTTACCATATTCAAACATTTAAAAAAGAGGACACTCCACAGGGCCCCGGTCCTGCCCCCAGCCCCGCCCCAACTCTGCCCCTTCCCCGCCCCCGGCCCCACCCCCGCCCTTCTCCACCCCTTCCCCACCCCCATTCCAACCCTTTCCCCAAAGTCCCTGCCCCAACTCTGCCCCCTCCTCTGAGCACCCCACATCCCCCCTCCTCCCTCCCGCTCTGATCTTGGTTGGGGGTTGCTAAGTGCTTTCCTGCACCCCACTGGCCCTGCAGCCCCTGCACCCCCCACCCCCTGCAGCCTCTGTGCCCCCTGCTCCCCACTGGCCCTGCATCCCCTGCACCCCCCCGCCCCTGCAGCCTCTGCGCCCCCCACCTGCCCTGCCCCTGCGCCCCCCTGCCCCTGCAGCCTCTATGCCCCTGCCTGCCCTGCTCCTCCTCGCCCTGCAGCCTCTGCACCCCCCCGCCTGCCCAGCTCCCCCGGCAGCCTCTGCCTGGCGGGGGCTTTGGATGCTCAGCGGCGACCGGGGCAGCGCGGGTCCCTGCAGCCCCGGCACACGCCACACTCCCTGCCCCGCGCCGCAGCCTCCTTCCTGCCGCGCGGGGTGATGGGGCCGCAGGAAGGGTCCCCCAGTGGCCGGGGAGTCCCCGCCCGTGAGGGAAGCCCGAGCCGTTGGCTGGGCCCAGCCTCCCCGTGGTCCTGCGGGCTCAGCTGGGGCGTGCGGTCCGCCCAGCCTCCGGGGGCAGCAGCGGCCCCTTCGCCGCCTTCTGTGCCTGCGCCCCCCCTTCCCCCGCCCGAGCTCGCTACAATGTAACCGGGCGGCTGGGCTGCACTACGGACCCGGCGGGTCGTGCTGGGGCCAGGCGGACCCTGGCTTATGCTGCCTCCTTATTTCCCCGGACACGTCCAGTTTTTGGCAATTCCCCCCGGACGGGGATTTGAGTACCAAAAAGCCGGACATGTCCGGGGAAATCCGGACGTATGGTAACCCTACTGTAACGCACGGGGCAGAGGCCTCTGTCATACAGAAGGAAATGTATTGCTAAAACGATTCCCGTTCTTTGTTTTAAATAAAGAGCAGCCTGTTCTTATTTCATAGACCATGGTGCTATTGTGTAGCAATTAGATCTTTGATAATTTTCTGTTATTGCTTAGCACTTACAGTAAACACCACTTAATGCTTTCAAAGCACTTTACAGTCATTAGCTAATTGATGCTCACTGCACTCAGATAGGTAAGTTTAGATCCCCCCAGAAGGTAAATGACTAGCCCAAGGCCACGTGATGAATTGGGAGCAGAGAAAGGATTAGACTTCAGAAGTCCCTGGTGTCTGTCTGGCCCACGCCCACGCTTAACCACTTATCTCAGGAGCCGTGCTTTCCCCTTGATATCCGGAAACAGGGCTGGGGGATCTTGGGAAACTGGCTTGTTTTCTAACAGATGTAAAAGCTAGGAGTGTGTAATCTCCTCGATGACATTCGTGAGAGCAAAGTCCATCACGGTCCTCCCTGAGCACTGAAACTGATCTTCGCTGCCGTGCCACGGGGAGGTACGGGAAGAGCCAGCTCCCAGGGCAGCATGACACGTTTCTCTTTTGTAGCTGGAGAAGGAATATGGATGGATCCATTTATAGAAAGAGCCTAAAGAAAATGCTGGAGGTCTTAGTTGTCAAGTCTCCTGTGTCAGATCACTGGGCTCTGCCAGGGGTAAGTGCTAAGGAGCCCATCGACCTGACCTAGGTTTGAAAGGCTCAGAAAACATAGGCAGATCAGTCAGTGCAGAGAGATGTTATTGGCATCACAAGCTACACCCATGTTACCAAAATGTAAAACATAGACAGGCCCTGTGGGTCTCTGCAGGAGGGAGATACAATCTGCCCTCAGCTGGGATTCAGTGCGTCTTATCCCCCATGCCCAGAGGTCTCATAATTCTGTCAGAACAGCCCAGTTGTCCATCTGGCCTTAGCCTGTCCAGTGCAGAATGCACCTTACAATGCAATACGATACTACAAGTGGCATTTCATCATCCCCCGGCCTAGCAGGTGATTAATAGTCCATATCATTTTCCTCCTTGCTAGTTTAACAGCCAGTTCTGACTCAGGAGTGTCTGCTCAAAGCCTGGCCTCAGAAACATCATGTGGCAGTGAGTTCCAGAGGTGGATTAAGTTATGTGCAAAACCGTATTTTCACGCACACCTGAGGAGTTTCTGCCATGGGTGTCCCTTCACTCCTTGCCCAGAGCAGACCTGTGGGATGCTCCATGCTTGTTTCCCCGTCTGGGGCAGTGTATAGTTTGGGAACTCCTGCTTCCTTAGTAGCAAGCATGGGGCCTGCTCTCTTTGCTGCAGTCAGGGAGGAGTCCCAGCTGTCTGTGCAGACAGTGCCCAGTTGTGATGGTCTGGTTCTGTGCAGGGATCACTGGAGCCAGGGGAATCGCTGCCACTGAAGCTGAAGCGGGTCCTGAGGAGGGAGTTCTGGCCACAGTTCCAGAACCTGCTGAACCAAGGTGCAGAGGTATGCTGGGCACGCCGCATGGCACCGTGTTTGGGAAGCAGGACAAGAGTCAGACACATGTTCCCATGATGATAACATGCCAGTTCCTCCCACGCAGGACAGGGTGGCCCCAGAATGGGCCCGGGCTGCAGTTCTGTGTACATGACCCTGGTGTGGTCTGCGGAAGTGAGGACAGAGGAATGGTAGAACAGGCCAGGATTGTCCTGCCGGGCACAACAACCATCGCGTGGGACTTGCTGTGGTTAAGCAGAGTTCCCAGGCAATGTGCCAGAGTTCCTTTGGGACACCGCTGGCTGCAGGACTGTCCCATGACCGGGATGGTGTATGTGAAAGCAGGACTTTCCCACAGCCCCCACTCTGTCACCAGGAGCGGCGGAAGTTCCCTACGAGTGGGCGGGGCCACCAGTGCCCCAAACCCTGGCCCTGTCCTCCATGCTGCCCCTTCTTCCAGAAGCCCTGCCCCTCCTGCCCCTGCCCCACCCCTACACCTAGAAGCCCCACCCTCACGCCACCCCTTCCCTGAGGCCCCGCCCCCATGCCATCTCTTCCCCCCAACACCCCGCCTCCTGCTCACTTCTCTCCACCCCCTCCCCTTCTCTCTCTCCCTAACGGGGGTAAAAAGTAGGGGCCATGGCCCCCTGGCCCCCCTGTTCTGGCACTCCTGAGCCAGGTCACAGCTGACCTTCTGCTAACACACTGAAACCCAAGGGGAACCCTTCCCAGTTGCCCTTTCTATCCCTTAGGTATACAAAGGCTACGTCGATGACCCCAGGAACACGGACAATGCTTGGATCGAGACAGTGGCCATCAACATGCACTTTGAAGATCAGAGCGACGTGCAGATGAAGCGGCTGAACTCGGTAAATGCCTTTTGCCTTCTGTCCCACAAAGCACTAACTTCCATGCGGAAAGGCCTCACTGCTGGAACAGGGCTGAGCAGGCATCTTCGCAGGGCCTGAGCCAGCGTTCACTGAAGTCAATGAAGAGCCTCGTGCCAACTTCGGTGGGTGTGGGATCAAGCTGCAGAGCCCGGGGAATGGCCCAGATCTCAGCAGCGTGGTGGTGGTGTGCTCACAAGCCTTGCGGTCCCATTCCAGCCTGCTTCTCTGCCTGCAGGTGGGGGGGACCCAGCCTGGACAATGCAGAGAAGGAGCAGGTGAGAGAGGGCTCCTGGATAGCAATGGGGGTGGTGTAGAAATGGAGCTAGGCAGAGGGGAGAAGGAGTGAAAGGGGCTGCAAGAGGAGAGAAATGGGGGGAGGGAGGAGAGGCCAGGGTAGGGTTGCTAACCCTCCCGGTTTAGCCGGGAGTCTCCCGGAATCGGGCTCGATCTCCTGGAGGCTACTGAAGCCAATTCGGGAGATTTTAGGGCACTAAAAGTCCAGTGGCGCAGAGGGGCTAAGTCAGGCTCCCTACCTGCCCTGGCTCCGCGCCACTCCAAGAAGCAGCGACATGTCCGGCAGCGGCACCTAGGAAGAGACACGGCCAGGGGGGTCTCTGCGTGCTGCCCCTGTCCCAAGCACCAACTCCGCAGCTCCCATTAGCTGGGAACGTGGAACTGTGGCCAAGGGAGCTGTGGGTGCGGTGCTTGCAGGCAGGGGCAGCACGCAGAGCCACCTGGCCACCCGTGAGCCTAGGAGCCGCTGACGGACATGCCACCGCTTGTGGGAGCCACCCGAAATAAGCACCACCCGGCTGGAGCCTGCACCCCGAACCCCTACCGCACCACAACCCTCTGCCCCAGCCCACTCCCGCACCCAAACTCCCTCCCAAAGCCTGCACCCCGAACCTCCTGATGCACCCCCTCTGCCCCAGCCCTGAGCCCCCTCCCGCACCCAAACTCCCTCCCAGAGCTCACACCCTGAACCCCTCCTGCCCCCAACCCCCAGCCCTGAGCCACCTCCTGCATCCAAACTCCCTCCCAGAGCCTGCACCCCGAAACCCCGCTCCAGGTCAGAACCACCTCCTACCCCCGAACTCCCTCTCAGAGCCCGCACCCCCAGCCTCCTCCTGCACCCCAACGCCCTGCCCCAGATCTGAACCCCCTCCCACACCCAAACTACATCAAAGAGCTCGCACCCCAAACCCTCTCCTGCACCCCAACCCCTGCCCTGGAGCCAGGCTCAGCCCGGAGACCTCTCCCATACTCTGAACCTCTTGGCCCCATCCCTCAGCCCAGAGCCTGCACCCCATCCCCCTGCCCCAGCCCGGTGAAAGCGAGTGAGGGTGAGGGAGAGCAAACGATGGAGGCAGGGGGGCTGGAGTGAGCGGGGGAGCGGGGCCTCAGAGAAGGGGTAGGGCAGGCATAGGGCCTTGGGAAAGGGGCAGGGCAGGGGGCGGGGCTAGGGTGTTTGGGTTTGTGCGATTAGACAGTTGGCAACCCTAGGCCAGGGAGAAGCACAGTGGTGGAGCAGGGCGTGCTGTTAAGTTTATTGTGTAAGGACTGTACATGCAACAGCAGGCACCATGAGACCAGATCCCAGGAAAATTCAATGACTTCCTTCATTTGAAATCTATTACCTGCCTGACGCTCGCCTCCGCTCAGCATTGAGGGAGGGCAGCCGGGCCATTGCTGTGTCCTGGGGACACATTGGTGGGGAGGACATAGCCCCAGGAACTAGCTTTTATCCAACACCGTTGGAGTCCCCTTGTTAAAACACCAGTAGTTAGTGCTTGTGCTAGTCCCGGGTAATCAAGGCTTGGGGAAAACAGCTCCTCCGCACCTGAGCCATCCCGTCCCAGGCTTTGCTGTGCCAGCCACGTGCCGAGTGCAGCTGGAAATACGCACTCTGTGGCAATGTCAGCCTGAGTGTAACGTCTTGGATTTCCTCTCCCAGTTTCTCCAGGGCAGCGACCCAGAGCCATGTGTCTGGTGGCAGCTGGTGGACAAGAGAATTCCGCTGTACGCAAACCACAAGGAACTGCTGCAGAAGGTGACTGCTCTTTTGGGGGCCTATTACTGATATTACGGCGGCCACCTGGGATGGATTTTCCGGAGCTGGGAGAAGTGTCATGGAGATCTGCCTGCCTGGTCCCCTTCTCTCCTGTTGCCCTAGACTGGGGCTTTGGGTGTGTACCTTGGCTTAACGCTCCAAGCTCAGCGGGACTGTGGGTAACATGCCATGCTACATGACTCTCCTTCTCACTCTCTTGTATCATTACTTGCGAGTGAACGTAGCACTCTCGTGAGACACAGATGGCAGCGGCTTGTGCCAGGCCCTCCCCCTTGCAGGAGTTGCCCCACACAGCTCTGCCAATGCTCTGCCAATGCTGGCAACTTCCCCTTTTGTTGTGGCCTTGGCTTTCTCCTAGGCTGACGCTTTGGCTGAGTTAGCAGTGGGTTTGGGACCTGGAAAGCACAAGTGGGACCTGGAAAGAGACTTAATTCATGGGCCAGTTTTTCCACCCACGTCTGTAGAGGTGAAAGGCTCCTGATGTGTGGTGCCACCTAGTACCGGGGCCAGGACACCTGCGTTCAGTTCCTAGCTCTGCCACAGACTCCCTGGGGGAGCTTGGGCCCGTCACTTAGGGAGGGAATCACAAAATTTCTAAGTCCCATGGATAGAGGAGCCCCTCTCTTGTGTATCGGCACCTCCCCTTGGCTGGCTTAGGCAGGTCCCACCTAGCATGCTGGCTTTGTGGGGCACATTCTCAGGCCCGTCTCTCCCCATGCATTGTATAGGGACCCTAGGCACCGAACGCAGCTTTGTGGATCCCAGTGTGAGCCTGTGATTTGGTAGGCTCCGCAACGCCCAACGTCACACCGCCTAAGTCCCTTTGTGACTCCGGGCCTGAGTTTCTTTAGGCCTCAGTTTCCTGTCGGTACCATGGCTCCTCTGGCTTGCCTGCGGGGATTGTAGGCTCTGCACAGCAGGGGCTGTCTCTCCCTGTGTTATGTACAGCACCTAGGGCAATGGGTGCCTCATCTTTGCCGGGGCCCCCAGTCCCTACTGTCATGGCGTAAGCTAACACTAATGGGGAGGGGCAGCAGATCCCATGGCCTGCCCTCACTCTGCCGCTGACGCACCTGGGCTACCGTACATCCTCTCGCTAAGTGGCATTGCTCCATCCACCACACTCGCCCCGCTCCTAGGGGCACCTGAGCTTGGATTTAGGCCAGCACCTCACTCCTAGGCCAGTCCATACTGGGTCTTCCCACTGCCCCCTCCCTTTCATTCCAGGTACCTCCGTTTTCCTCTTGATGCCTACTCCGAATCTTGGCTGCTCCTGTGTATGTCAGCCATGGTTATGCTCTCCTGGGGCTTGGAGAACAGCAGGGATCTTTCTCTAGGCTGGCACTGGTGCTGCTTCAAGGAATACGAAGCAGGAGATGTCTCCCTTCCCCCTATCAGCCAGTTGATATGTCTCACTCGTAGCCCTGAGCTCAGACATCCTGGAGGGCGTGTGCCTGGAAGATGGTCTGGAGCCCAGGGTTTCACAGAGCTCATGTCATTTCTCTACTTCTGCCAGAGGCACTGACCTGGATGTCAGACCCCTCCCTTTCACCTGATCATACTCACGTCACTCACCTTAGATCCGGAGGATGCTGAATGCTGTGGCTTCTCTACAGACTTATTTGTAAAGTGCTTTGGGATCTTTGGGCCTGGAAGCGTGTGCGAGCTACGCGGTCTTGTTGCCGTCTCACTGGTTTTGACTCAAAAATGTTGACTCCCAAGTGGGGTTTGGGACAGCATGTTATAAAGGAATTAACCCCAAACTAGGTTAAGCATCTACTGCTATTATTTATTTCTTGCTCTGTTCCTTAGGTTGGGTCCCTGGCACCCCTGTTAAAGACCAAGTCCTCATATTTGGCCCTGAACATACTGGAACTGTATTGTATCTGAGCTTATTCCTTGAACCAGCTCTAGTCGCCTTCCTTAGCTGCTAGCCTGCCAGCGGCATGGGCAGAAAGCACCCAGCAGTCAGGGCCTAAATTGTGCCCCCAGCCATTGCCATCCCCCCCCACCCAGGGCCAGAGCAGTAAAATGTGGCTGGCAGGTGGATTAGGACAAGGGGGATGACTCGGGAAAGCCAGGTTATGGAGACAAAGTGAGTGGGGTTGCGTATTTGGGTCTGAATTTGAAATAGCTGCTGTTAAAGTGTCAGCGTTGTAAATAGGCACACATACGGACCAGGCATTGTGAGCGAAGTAGCACCATGGGAGATAGACTGCAGATCCCTTTTCCGGTCATTCTTCCTTTGGATTCCTGTGCAGCCCCCAAACATCCACCTCGGGATTTCCATTCCTTACAAAGCCGCTGGACACAGGTCCTTGATTTCCCACCCTGCCACAATTCATCGCTAGAAATGAACGATGTGGTCACATCCTTTTGCCAGCCAGTCACACGTAGCTCCCAGGCGAGCCGACCAGGATCTCCAGATCAAAAGCAGTTCAAAACAAGCTAGGAAAGAGTTTGCATATAAACCTGCTTAGCGAGAACATCTGTCGAGCCCCCTCAGTCCATTAGCTAGCAGTGGGTCAGGAAGAGGTTTGGACTGTAGCACTTTGGCCTCGGTTCACAAAGGGATTTAGGCATCTAAGTCCCAGTTGTAGGTGCCACAAAACGCCCTTCGAACCCTGTGGCTGCCTCAAGTCACGTTTTTTGGGCACGTTTTGTTCCATGGACACCAAAGTTTCTGCCTCTGAGCATGTGCCCGGCTGCCTCCAGCGCAGTGTCCAGCCACCTGTCTCCCACCTAAGCCCTGGCATGACTCGTGGATGAGGAGGGGATAGGCATTTGCCCACCTAAGTTGCATGTGGGGCCGAATCCGGTGGGTGCGCCCTGAGCATGCTTACTGGATCGGGCGCCGCATGTGAGTTCACACAAAACAACTGAGGGAGGAGGAGCTCCCTCCTATGTTTTAGCCCAGTGATTGGGGACTCATCTGAGATGTGGGAGACCCCCATTCATGTCACCCCTCCACCCAATGAAAAGAAGGGATTTGAACAGGGCTGTAGCAGAGTGCTCTAACCACTGGTCTATAGCTATTCTGCAGTGGCCTTCTTCCCTCAGTCTCTCCAGTTGAAGCTGTTGAATTGTGGCTAAATACTTAGTGTCATTGGAGCAGGGGGACTGGCGCCTGGGAGTCTCAGCTCCTGGGTAAGTGCTCTAACCAGCAGGCTATACAGTCGTTCTCATGCGCTCTTTCCTTACTTCGCCGCCGTAGGACAGCTTTAACCAGAGAGGCTGAGGGAACCCCACAGCCCAGCACCTGTGAGGTGACAGATTGCTGTTCAGAACCCTCCTCCTCCTCAGGCATAGGGGAAACGTGACAACAGGGCCCTCCCCATCCTCAATGAGTGCGGTAACACTCAGCGTCCCAGCGCCTAAGGCCCTTTGTGAAGCTAGGCCTTGATGACCGTGGCTGGTCTTGATGGGATTTTTTCCTGTCATTTAGTCAGTCTTTGCCCAATCAAACTATTCCTTCCACAATAATACACTGAGCAGTGTATGCAGAACAACAGCATCTCGCCTGCAATGACGCACCAAAGTGGGCTTCAGTGTTTGCATAAGGGGACAGAATGATGTTTTATTTAATGCCTCTCTTAACTCAATAAATCTAACAATTAAGACCAATTGCATATGATGTCCTTTTAGTAAATGGTCACTACTGAACTTAACTCCCTCCACGCTAGGTCCACGTGTGTTACTGTGTGTAATTCCACACTCAGAATGTTGGACTTCATTGATTTGACAGCCGCACCAAATAAAAATACAACGCAAGAGTGCTGGATGTTAATGGGATCCGAGATGAAGGTCTGCAGCTTCCAAAATAAACAGCTTTGCTTCGCCTCCACATGGCAGTGACTAGGCCAGCATTAATGGCATTACTTGCATTAGGGCCAGTCACATTATCTCTGCATAGTTGTTATGCTAGGAGCTGGCTTTCCACTATAAGCCTAATTTAGTCATAAACACAACTTCCCCAATACCCAAACCATTTGTGGACAAATTCCTAGGCCATAGCTTATTCCAGTACAGAGATGGTTGGGCAAGTTTGCAGCAAATCTGAGACCTTATTTAGATGAGATTAGCATTGCCAGACGACTGCATTATTTGGCTTACTACCTTTCTGGAATGGCTTTCCCTACAAATGCCATTCGATCGTATTTCTTCCCTTCTGCCTGGAGCGGGGCCTTTCCACACCGGGCTGGGATTTCTTGGCATTTGAGGAGATACCAGCACACGTAACAAGGACATAGAGAATTAATTCAGTAAGTGTCCTCTCATGCCATTGATACATTTGTGACAAATACCTGTGTCCGGGGGGAAATTAGTCCTTAGTAGCCACCAGGCCACTGAGCGCTCAAGGGATGGCTTTACCCATGCAATATGCTTTGGGCCAGATCCTCAGCTGGTAGAAATTGGCATAGCCAGTGGTCATTTCTGCCAGTTCAGGATCTGGCCCGTTATCTGCCTTGTGTGCAGAATGGGACTGATTCTGCTTGCACATACACAAGTGTTGCACAGGTGTAATTCCATGGCCCTCACCCCCAGCCTCCCTGGCATGAATTCATGCTTTGAAACATAGGCCTTGCTCATCTGCTGCCCCGTCTCCTTCTCTGTGTCTGGGCTGAAGGCCTGCAGGCCATGTGGGGAGGTACACTCTACAGCATTCCCCCTAGAACTGGTGCCACCATCCTCTGCTTGACCTTTGGACTCCTCTGCCTGCATGTGGGGGTGTTGACTGGGAAATAATGTCCAGCTTAGGCTAAAAAGACAGAAATGCGTGTCTGAGCCTAGAGCAGGGGTGTCCCAGATCCAGCCCAGCTGAGGCATTTGAATGGATCACAAGACAGGTTGGCTTGTGCAGAATCTCAGCTTTTGTTTGAAACCAACAAATCCGTTTCTAGCCCTGGCACTTGTAAAGAAAATATCTGAACATGGATCGAGTATAAACCACTGCAGTGCTGTCTGCCTGAGTCTGCAGAGAGCCTGAAACAACGGCTCTGAGTTGTGAA